CCCCCCAGAAAGCGTCAAGGACCTGATCCGGTACCTGCGCCATGAGGACGAGAGCCGGGACGTGCGGCAGCAGCTGGGGGCAGCCCAAATCCTGCAGAACGATCTCCTGCCCATCCTGGTGCAGTACCCGCAGGAGAAGGTGCTTTTCGACGCCGTCGTCAGGTACCCGGGGGGGGCAGGGTTGGGGGAGAGGGGGGTGACCCGCTCCCCACGGAGCGATGGTCCCACACACCCCCCCGTCCCGCTCGCAGGCTGATGGTGAACCTGACGCAGCCCGCTCTGCTCTGCTTCGGCAAAGTGCCGGCAGATGCCACCTCCCGGCACCATTTTCTCCAGGTCCTGTCCTACCTCCAGGCCTACAAGGAGGTGAGTCCGTGATCCCAAACTGGGAGGGGTGGTTGACACCCTGGAGGGGCTGTGCTGCCATCCGGGGTGACCTGGACAGGCTGGAGGGCTGGGCAAGGAAGAACCTCATGAGGTTCAACAGGGAAAAGTGGAGGGTCCTGCACCTGGGGAAGAAAAATGTCAGGTACCAGTAGAGGTTAGGGGTGGACCTGCTGGAGGCAACTAGCCTCTAGGGGCTGGTCTCTTTTCTCAAGTCCCAGGCGACAGGACGAGAGGAAATGGCCTCAAGTTGCGCCAGGGGAGGTTCAGGCTGGATATTAGGAACAATTTTTTCCCTGAAAGGGTTCTCAGCCCTTGGAATGGGCTGCCCAGGGAGGGGGTTGAGGCCCCATCCCTGGAGGTGTTCAAAAGCCGGGTTGATGTGGTGCTGGGAGGTCTGGTTTAGTGATGATGCTCCTTGTTTGTTGTGGGGGTGTCTATTTTTGTCAGTCGGGTTGACGGTTGGACAAGATGATCTTGAAGGTCCCTTCCAACCTAGAAGATTCTGGGATTCTGTGAACTACTGAAGAGAAAGATCTAGGGGTCCTGGTGGACAGTAAAATGACAATGAGTAAACAGTGTGCTCTTGTGGCCAGGAAGGCCAATGGTATCTTGGGTTGCATAGGGAAGAGTGTGGCCAACAGGTCAAGGGAGGTCATTCTCCCCCTCTACTCTGCACTGGGGAGGTCACAACTGGAGTACTGTGTCCAGTTCTGGGCTCCCCAGTTCAAGAGGGACAGGGAACTACTGGAAAGAGTCCAGCGAAGGGCAACAAAGATGATTCAAGGATTGGAGCATCTCCCTTATGAAGAGAGACTGAGAGAGCTGGGACTCTTTAGTCTGGAGAAGAGAAGGCTGAGGGGAGACCTTCTCAACGCCTACAAGTATCTCAAGGGAGGGTTGAAGGAGGAGGGAGCCAGACTCTTTTCAGTGGTTCCCA